AAGGAAATAAAATACTGGTGATGCCAAAAGACATCAGGAGTCAATACTCTAAAATTGTCAGTGACCTGACAACACCATGTTTCTCTTGTCCAAGGGAACCAGTCCTCGTTCTAAAGTCTGATTGTAACACAGAATTCAACGGAGCTCGCAGCACATAGCATTCAGATGATGCTTATCAGCTTTTGAGGGTGGAAGCAGGCAGCAGACTACACTCCTAGTACGCTCTCACTTAAAATCTGCCTGAAAAGGCCAGCAACAATTTTCTAATCCCTTTAACTTGCCTTTCCCTAAAGATCTCACGACAGTGCTTCCAATTTTACTGGAGTCATAAATCATATATTTCCTTTCTTGTGACTGGTATCCAATAGAGCTAGAGTTTTTAAGGTTTGTCTGCTGGACGTATTATGTTACTGAAATATAAAAATGGCTGCTGTGCACGCCAGTGGTTAGTAAAACTCAAAGACGTAACATTAGCTTTCTCAATTGATTTGAGGAAAGAATGTTCATAAAATATATACTGCTTTTGGTTAGGAGCTTATTTCTAAATAAACAGACTCAGCAATGGAAATTTTAGAGACAGGCAAAAACAAAACATGCGTCTGTAAATGTACGTTTTAAAATCAATTCTCTCACAATCTTTGTCTTTTGTAAACTTTCTGAAGATTGTAAACTCAGTTGCATTAAGTTGATAATTTATAGCTTTCTAATTTAACTTCTTTTTCAGTTGTTGAAGGAAAATCTCTTACCCCTCTGAAATATTTCTCCTCTATTTTACAGGCTGATGTTGCATCTCTGCCTAAGAAGGCACTTCACTGCAGTGATTTGAGGGAAGCCATTTGTTTGTGATTCAGGCAAGGGAAGAAAAGTGGAACGCTCTGCTACAACGTATCTAGTCCTTTGGGCCCTAACAAAATAGGAAATGCAGGAGATTAGGGGACTGCATTGCCTCCAATTAAAAAAAAAAAAGTGCTAATCCACACAACATAAAGCCAAACTAAGTGGGGCTATCTTCTCTAATTAGCAATGAACGAAGGTCAGCTAGATTTTTATCTTAGCTACAAATTGGGAAGGAGAAAAGGAGAAAGGAAATACTACAACTTGGTTAGATCCTGCTTTTCACACAAGATTGTATGACTGGTAGTTGCACAGGATGCTTCCAGAAGATTAGAAGGCCAAAAATAAGCAAGGAAATATGGTTGGCTCAATGTTTACATTTATTTCAAAAAGAATAGTTCAATCTGGTATGGTAGTTGCAGACACATACATAAATATTAAAAGCACACTATGTTTTTTATGATTTTTTTAAGAGAGCTGTAATTCCTAAGTTACTATCATGACGAATATTTGACCAGAAACCACATGCATACCATATAGCTCTTTACTCATTCTTTTACAGTTTACTGAATGGCCTACAATCAGCCAGTCAAAAGAAATACAAATATATTTTTCTTGCCTTCAATTAGCTTATACTTTATCTAGGAAAAAAAAGTTCAAATACATAAAATAACAAATAGTACAGGTAACATCTCAGTATAAAACTGTGAAAGCACAGCAGGTAATTAATTGGCATTTTAATAACAGGAAATACAAGCACTATAAGAATTTGTTAGGGGAACACGTTTCTGTAGGTTGACAATATTCTTCTGAGCACAAGCATTGGTGCTAGAAAAAGCTCTGAGTTCTGCCATTTGTGGACTCTGATGAAGTAATGTTTAAGCTCTCTGAGCTTTAATTTTATCATCAATAGAATGGGGATAATAATAGCTACACTATAGGGTTATCATAAGAAACTAATACATTATACGTGAATGGATTTTGTAATCTGTAAAGAAGCTGTAAAATGACTATTGAGAAAGTAGTCAAAGGAATCATGCCAAACAGTTACCATTAGTTTGGGAAGACAGAAAGGGATAAGAAGTTGGAAGGGATAATGATGATTAATTTTTTTCTTGACATACCTCTCTATTGTTTGAACTTGTGCACTAATCTTGTAACAAAAAAAAAATTAAGGCTATATAAATATTAGCTGAAGTACGCATATCTGGATATCACAAAATAATTGTAAACACTAGTAACCCTGTCCCTTTAGAGGTACATAGAAAGAAGCCTCAGTCCTGGTTTCAATTTGAGAATTTCCAAAGTCATAAAAATGTGCCAAGATTGGTAACAATAACTAACTGAAACTGTGTTTCCTTTTCATAACACTTTAAAATAGAGCATATTTTGTAGTCACCCAAAACCATCTATTGATTCAATAATCACTTTGGTCAACAACATTTGAAATAAGCAAATTAAATAACTTTAGTTCCTCAAAGTCAAGTATTTGTCATGTCCAACTTTGCTTTCTAGGGCCCAATACATTTTGGGTATTCAAGTGATAACTTTACAGACATAAGAAAAGTTATTAAGGCATTTCCAAATCAATGCCAAGGACTTTTCAGAGCAGAATGACCAACTTTTTAAACAGAACTTGGTCACAGATGTGTATTCCTAACGTTTTATGTAAGTGTGAGCTTTTTGAGGGCAGGAGTCAGATCTTAATCTCTGTATGCCCAGTCCCTGGTATTGTGACTAGCAGGTGAGTAGGCGAGAATAAATATTTGTTGAACTATTTGGAGGCAAGAACACCCTCAAACACTTCAGTTAACTGGAAACTCAAGGAGATGGACATATATTCTAAGGGGAAGTCAATTTCTATAGCTGTCTCTGGAGAAAATTCCTTAAAATGTTTAGAAAGTCATAAAGATAAGTAAAAAGTTAAGTCCTTTGATTGAAATATCATAAGATTCCTATTTGGTGTAGGTAGTAGAACCATTTGAGGGCATATAGATGTATGGACTAAGGGGAAATCATGGTGCAATCTGATCAGAACCCCTTTTGTTTGCCTTGACAAAAATTTCCAAGGCATGTCTTATATCTAAATGGAAGGGGGCAGAAGAAAGGCTTTCACTTTCTGTGGCAGAAGGAGGCCTGCTCCTGGAATGCTGGCTGACTACTGGCTCAGTGGTTTATGGTTCCTCTATGAAGACTTCATGTGAGTAAACACACAGATACTTTAAAAAATAAAATGGAGTTGGTATCCACATGTAATACAACTACTAGATTGTATGTAGTCACATTTACATTATTTCCAGTAATATGCAAGCAGTGACAGGGAAAAAAGGGAGGTGAGTCTTACAGGGCTGTGCAAGCACTATTGAATAGGCCCTAAAGACACAAGTATGGAAGTAAAAGTACAGTGATATAAAGTCATTCCTCTGACTCCTATTGATGATATAAATATTTCTATGAATGGTATACCCAGTGCTAATCTCTGTTCCATGCTAAGATGCCAGATCATTCATGTTTATCTTATTTAATCTTCCTCACAAAATAACAAGGGTTTATCATAACTTTTGAACTCTTTAGTAGTGTGCTATTTAATGAATCAAAAGAAGTCATTTTATGAAAAGCAAATGCTTTAGGACAGTACTCACTTGAAGCTTTTTGAAATATACAATGCAGCGTATAAATAAGTGATATATTTTTCTACTTCTAAAAAGCATTTCAGAAGGCCAGTGGAAATGAATCGCTTTGGCTGTACTTCTTTAAAGGATGCTAAGTTTCTTAGTTTGGTTAGTCAAATTAAAGTTGGGAGCTACCTAGAAATTTTCTCACATTTTGATCTTTAGAAGGGCAATTAATCAAGCTCTTGTTTGAGGTGACTCTAGCTTTGATCAGAATCCTACGGAGGGAAAGTGAGAGAACTACATATTCAGAATATTCAACAGTATATATAATTGAAAACAGCCACCACACGGAAAGAAAAGTAGATGCCAGTGGGCTGATATCTTATAACCTTTGGTCAAGCGGTACTTGGCAAATTTCAACAGATTTAGTTAATCAGAGATAAAACTAAGCCACAGAATACCATGAAAACAAAACAAAAGTATCAAAACAGAATCAGGAATTAACAGTGAAAAACAATGCTATACCTAACGGCGTGGATCTACCAGAGGCGATTTGTTAGACCTGAGTCGTTATTTCATAGTGGATGCTTCAAATAAAAACTTTAACGTTTCTTTAGGTCAAACTATAGCACAGCATTCAGAGAGCCAGCCAGAATAGCTGAGGGAAACTAGGAAGGCCACATGTGGAACTAATTACTCATGTAGAGGCTATGACAAAGAACATTTCTCCAGACTTTTCATGGGGGCTTCACTTTCAGGAAGTTGCTATAATTACTGTTCAAGTCTAGAGCAGCCTGCAAGCTGCTGACAGATCCAACAGACAGGAGAAGGAGGGAGAGAGAGAAGGAGTGAAAGAGAGGAGGGGGAGAGAGAGAGAGAGAGAGAGAGAGAGAGAGAGAGAGAGAGAGAGAGAGAGAGA